GCAATACTATCAATGAGGGGTTTCCCTTCATTGTTAATACTAACTTATATATTAATCTGGGATCAAAATTGCAATTTAGATCATTATTATCATTATGCAGACTATTGTAGATAAAAGAATAACTTAGTAATTCAGTCATAAACAGGGTACATAATTATAAGTTTTTAATTAACCCATTCACCAGGTACCTCGGTATAAGCAACACCAAATGTGAAGGCTAATGATACTACCCGGTTACCCAGACAGAAGTAGGTGGGGTGGGGTTCAAATCTGGAAATAAGCGGACGAAAGTATAACGCCCTGACCATTAGCTATATATGCGTATTTGACCAAAATGATACACCATATTAGCATAGCGAAATTAGATTATGAAATCAAATACCAGAATAGTGGAGGGAGTAATAGTATTAGTAGTAGTAAGAGAGAAAGAAAGAATCTGTAGAACAAAATGTCAGACAATTTTGGAACTCAAGATCTAGAAGAAGACAGGAAGTACATGTATTTTAGCCATTAAAACCAATTCTGAGCAACGTCACATATCTCCAACTCAATAATTGAAAACTTTAAAAAATACAGATATGTGAAATTCAAAATAAGTAAAATTAATAGGTTTCAAATGTACATTTTGTGAGTAAGTTAAATCATCAAAATGAAACCGGAATAAAGCTTTACTTATATACAGAGACACTATTTGCGAAGAAAACTTAGAATATGTTATTAGCTAAAAGACAATTAGAAGTAGATGTATACAATGATATACAAATTAGAATACTTAAATGTATAGTTAGTAATATGATTCAAAGAGAGGAATTTTAGATATCTTACCGATTAGTTACATCAAGTTATGTTTTGTTCGGTCACGAAAATAGACGTTTTAAAACAGACTCACGATTTATAAGTATTTTACTATCTTCAGCGTGAATTAACTAACATCAGTAGTGTTAGTTACTGAAGGGGTTAATAAAGATTGTTGAATTTCATGACAGTTTGTGATTGTTAATATTAGTTGTAAATTTTTAATATTATGGAATAACGTAGCAGTTAATAGGTACCTAAGGTAACAGTAATTAATTGGAAGTTCTAAGCTACTCTCTAGCTTACAAAACGAAGTACTAGTCGGTATGATTAAAAGTCAGTTATACACATTGTAAAACCTGATCATAATAAAAAATTTTCTCATAGTTGTGATAAAAGTGTAATTCTCTCACACTCTTTACATAACCTAACTTTAACAACACTTTAGATACTAAGGTTAGTGGTACCGCCCAGGTATCTAGACCGGATCACACCACAAAAAACCAAATCGACCATATTTGCATCAACAAAACGTTCAGGAGGACTATAGAGGACGTGAGAACCAAGAGAGGAGCTGATATAGCATCAGATCATCACTTGCTGGTCGCCAAGATGAAATTGAAACTCAAGAAGCACTGGACAACGAGGCGGACAATATCACAAAAGTTCAATACGGCCTTTCTTCAGGATACTAACAAACTCAACAAATTCAAGATAGTCCTCAGCAACAAGTTCCAGGCCTTTCATGATCTACTCAATGGAGAAGGAACTACTGTGGAGAGCAACTGGAAGGGGATCAAAGAGGCAATCACTTCAACATGTCATGAGGTCCTGGGTCACAAGAAGCACCATCACAAGGAATGGATCACTGTTGATACACTGGATAAGATTCAAGAAAGGAAGAACAAGAAGGCAGCAATCAATACCAGTCGAACAAGAGCAGAAAAAGCCAAGGCACAAGCTGAATACACAGAAGTAAACAAACAAGTGAAGAGGAGCATCAGAACCGACAAACGTAAATATGTGGAAGATTTAGCAACGACGGCGGAAAAGGCTGCAAGAGAAGGAAACATGAGACAATTGTATGACACGACAAAGAAACTCTCTGGAAATCGCCGCAAACCAGAACGACCAGTGAAAAGCAAGGAAGGCGAGGTAATCACCAACATTGAAGAGCAACAAAACAGGTGGGTAGAACACTTCAAAGAACTCTTGAATCGACCAGCTCCACTGAACCCACCCAACATCGAAGCAGCACCCACGGACCTCCCAATCAATGTTGGCCCACCAACAATTGAAGAAATCAGCATGGCCATCAGACAAATCAAGAGTGGCAAAGCAGCAGGACCGGACAACATCCCAGCAGAGGCACTAAAAGCAGACGTAGCGGCAACTGCAAGGATACTCCACATTCTCTTCAATAAGATTTGGGATGAGGAACAAGTACCAAAAGACTGGAAAGAAGGACTTCTGATCAAAATACCGAAGAAAGGCGATCTCAGCAACTGTGATAACTACAGGGGCATCACTCTTCTCTCAATACCGGGAAAAGTCTTCAACAGGGTATTGTTAAACAGGATGAAGGACTGCGTAGACGCCCAACTTCGTGACCAACAGGCAGGATTCCGTAAGGATAGATCGTGTACAGACCAAATCGCAACTCTACGGATCATTGTGGAACAATCAATTGAATGGAATTCATCACTCTACATCAACTTCATTGACTACGAAAAGGCATTTGATAGCGTGGACAGAACAACACTATGGAAACTTCTTCGACACTACGGCGTGCCTCAGAAGATAGTCAATATCATACAGAATTCCTATGATGGATTACACTGCAAAATCGTGCATGGAGGACAGTTGACAAAGTCGTTCGAAGTGAAGACCGGTATCAGGCAAGGTTGCTTACTCTCACCCTTTCTCTTTCTCCTGGTGATCGACTGGATCATGAAGACGTCAACGTCTGAAGGGAAGCATGGGATACAATGGACATCTAGGATGCAGTTGGACGATCTAGACTTCGCAGATGATCTGGCCCTTCTATCCCAAACGCAACAACAAATGCAGGAAAAGACGACCAGTGTGGCAGCAGCCTCAGCAGCAGTAGGTCTCAATATACACAAAGGGAAAAGCAGGATTCTCCGATACAACACAGAATGCACCAATCCAATCACAATTGACGGAGAAGATTTGGAAGATGTAAAAACCTTTACGTATTTGGGCAGCATCATTGATGAACAGGGTGGATCTGATGCAGATGTGAAGGCGCGGATCGGCAAAGCAAGAGCAGTATATTTACAACTGAGGAACATCTGGAATTCAAAGCAGCTGTCAACCAACACCAAGGTCAGGATTTTCAATACAAATGTCAAGACAGTTCTACTGTATGGGGCAGAAACCTGGAGAACTACGAAAGCCATCATCCAGAAAATACAGGTGTTTATTAACAGTTGTCTACGCAAAATACTTCGGATCCGATGGCCGGACACTATTAGAAACAACGTACTGTGGGAGAGAACAAACCAGATCCCAGCGGAGGAAGAAATCAGGAAGAAGCGCTGGAAGTGGATAGGACACACATTGAGGAAAGCACCCAACTGCGTCACGAGACAAGCCCTCACATGGAATCCTCAAGGCCAAAGGAAAAGAGGAAAACCAAAGAACACATTACGCCGAGAAATGGAGATAGACATGAGAAAAATGAACAAGAATTGGATGGAACTAGAAAAGAAGGCCCAGGACAGAGTGGGTTGGAGAATGCTGGTCAGCGGCCTATGCTCCATTAAGAGTAGCAGGCGTAAGTAAGTATAGACTTTTTGGAAAATTGACTATTATAAGGAGGATGAAAGTATGGCTTTGCTAATTTTTCCTTTACAGTTATACTACAAGGAATAATCTTTACCTATTCGAATCATTTTCTATGGAATTAACCATTTAGATCATATTTGGAAAAAACACTTAAAAGTATATCGTTTCTTTTCTCATCACGACAAATATTTCCCAATAAAGAGATTACCATTAAAAAAATGGATAATTCTGATGATACAATAACATCAAACATTAATGAACAAAGTGTCAAGGAACCATTATATAAAAATTATATTTTCGTATTCATGATTGTTGGTTTGGTAACAATAATTCCCTTGATTATTATCAACATAGCAGTAATGATGAAAAGACGATTATCAAGAATATGTCGCATATTATTACTTTGCATTTGTTTATCACTTGGATCTTGTGTCAGTGCATTAGCATTTACGCATTATGCATTAGGACCGATTGATATAACGTTAACTAAAGGTGACCAAATACTTATTGGTGAGCCAACAAATGGATTTCTAATGAATATACATGAATTACGCTCATTGACTTGTAATCATTTAGAAATCCAATCGAATAAATTAAAAATTCGTGTTTGGACAACACCTATATCACCTCACTATGGACCATTACAGAATTACAGTTTAGTTATACGTAACTGGAGTTTTCCAGCGTTTACCCACCTTCGGCTTAATAATGGTGATTCAATTTATGCACATAATTTTTCTCACCCAACACAAATAATCATTCTTAAAGGTGAAGAATCTATGCAACGATGGATCAAACCGGTTCATACAAGAGAGGTTATGAAAAATGCTGTGCATGGTATATTCTACAGACAGATGTAGAGAATAGACAACAAATAACAGTTGAACAAAATGATATGTACACTTTAATAATGAGAACATCTGCATCGATAGTCAATTATTCATATCATTTAAACGAACCATCAACAGTAGGAAGCGGATATATTGATTTAGTGCGTACACGTTGGGCACCTAACCCTTGTGATCCAGTCATTTGTGATGGTACAACAACAACTCTATGCAAAATAACGTCATCTCCGAAAAGTTACGTAGTCGACTATACTGTAGAAACAATGACAGCGCCAAACCTTGACTATGCAAACGTTCACATCATTTGTTATCCACGTCATTGGATATTAGGAATTATGTTTAGTTTGCCAACTATTCTAATTGTAAGTCTGATTCTTATAATACATGCATGTATTAAAAAACAAAAGAAACAGTTTAAATTCTCTGATACAAGTATTCAACAAACACCTTTTACTGATTTAAATATTAAACAAATGAAAGGTAAATATACAACTTCTAACGAGAACCAAAATCATGCATTTGAATTTGATCTAGTGTAAAACTTACTGGCAACTGGTTTATCTTACAACACTTTGTTTTAGTTGCCGTTATAATCGATGACATTATTGATTCCTTTATATTTTTATTACCATAATGTAGCGCTTCTATTGCTGATAACTGCAAATCTTCAGCGTAATTATTTAATTTCTCATCTAAGAAATCACATAGTTTTGCTCCAAAACCTTCTAAAATTTTACATTCTTTTCCACTTTGTAACAATAGTGGGTATTTTTTAAGTGAAGAAAGAGCCTAGAAAAGAAAATAACAAAGTTCATAAATCAAATTAATATTGTCCTACCTTTCTGTAAGCATAGTATGATTTGGCATCTTTGACAAATGCATTTTCCATAGCTTCGGTTATCCAACTTTGAAATAAAAGATTTGGTCCACCATCAATCTTTTTCTTTTTCCGACTATGATATAAAGTATATTGGATGAGTTATGTATGCTAAATAAAGTTTGTGATTTTTAATCTTTGGGAAAACATAGAGTATTTATAAATTTTAAAGTAAAAAAATAACCGGATGAGATTGTGTAAGATTTGACATAAAGGTACACTGATCAGTAGATTGATATCAGCCTGAAACAGATTGGTGATAAATTCTACGTAAATATAACGTAGAACCTGGTAAACATGTACATCAGTTCAAGTTGCCATACTTCATTAGTACAGCGAGATAAAGTTGTCAGTAAAAATCCTAAAGCACTAGCATAGGTAGTAACAGTATTAGTGGTAATCGAAAAGACTAGGCATTGAAGACAAGACTCAAGGAAATGTGGATATGTCCAAAAAAATAATTTTGTAAGGTGATTTGAAAGGTTAGGACTTAAGGGAAGGCAAAGGGTGAATGCGCCTACACCATTACGAATGATTCTAAGCTATTCCATCCAAAGTCTCTAATCATTCGTTACGATAATCACCTATAATCCATCCATTAGTCTGAACCTGCATACATGGATTAGTTCTTTAAAAGTGTCTATGAGAAGGTTAAATAAGAATGGGGAAAGCGGAAAACCCTGTAGAACACCACTTCCCACTGAAGTCAAGAATATTCCAAGTATATAATACTTCGAAGAAGGGAAAACAGATATTGTTCCTTTGTTCACACCGTTTTCTCCTTCACTTTTCTAGGGTTCAACTTTATTTCCCGTTTTTTTGTTTCCCTGGAAGAACAGAAAATGAAAAAGCACTAACGAGTTTAGGATCAACTGCCTAACAACTTACTACTGATGTTTAACTTCAAAAGTCGATTAAGGAAAACCTGCATTTTGAGAAGCAGATACATTGAAAAAAGATTGTATCGACACAAGGGATTCCTCACATCTCCTTTAAACACATATCCTTACTAACTACAACTAAATGATATGGCCTTTAATTAAAAATATTGCAAACGGATGTGTACACTGCATAACCATACATTATCTCTAATTTTCATAAAACGTAATGGTCAATGAGTAAATAGCCAAGCAAACAGAAAAAACGATAATCGAGATCAATAGGGGGAATGGAGGCAATACCCTGGGGAAACGCGCCAAATGTTCGGTTTGTCGCCTATCAGGGAGAAACAGTAAGAATTTCCTACGAGACATTTCTCTGGGAATGTTTCGGAATTCGCACTAAATAGTTTACCTTCCGCTCAAATTTACGCTTAGCCATCTACTTCCTATGTATGGTTTTCCTTTAATTCTATCTAGCTACCTAGTTTATAAACCTTTAGCAGGGTAACGTCAAAACTATCTAGAGGCATTAATTCGTTAAGTAGAGTTTTTGGTAATCCAACGTCGTGCTTAAAACAAGTTCCAGAAGGAAAAAGATCCTTTAGATGAAAATGTGATAATCTTGTGAACAGAGTCGCAAAGGTGAATACGGTTTTACAAAACTTAACTTCTGTTATGTCCGATTCGACTACTACTGTTCTTCGGTTTATGTTATGCCTTGACAGTTTATTAAGTATCAAGGCTACTATTTCACTTTATATGGATTAGTTTCATTCAAAGTATTACAAAGAGTATCGTCCTTTTATCAAAAGAGACTTTTTACCTTCGGAATCCTATTGGGTGCCACAGTTTTTCTGTTTATTTCACTTTTTGAACTTAACAGTTCATGGCTCCTTTTCTTTTAACTTTTTGCCCAAATACTTTGGTTATTCGTTTTAACCTTTTTTCTTCAAAGTTAGGTGATGACTGGATAGTGTAAAAGAAGTAATTGTCAACACTCAAATTATGAATACTTAGTGGATAGTGATATGCAGTGTGATGGGTGCAAAGGGTGGTACCACGAAGTTTGCACTAATTTAACACCTGCAGCTCTTAAAAGGTATAGTATATGGTTGTTCCAGAAGGGATGCTTGGATACAACGAGATGGCTGTTAGAAGCATACGAGACCAAGTCGGTCATATTCAAATCCCTCCTACACCTTCAAATAAATATCTTATCTTTACGATTAACCATTCTCACATCCCTTTATCACCTCGCATCGCTAGGGCAAACGATTCGAGTGCGCGGAACATTATTCCTGGTCTCCTGAAACCACACTCTAAACTACACGTAGGAGCTCTCAACATTCGAACACTGTGCCAAATAGGACAACAGGCTTACTTAGCTAGGACTTCAGAATCTCGCGCCATCGATGTGTGCTGCGTCTCCCAAACGCGCATACAGGATCCGAGTAGCGTCATTCATTTGACCTCACCATGCCAAAATAAAGAACCAACTCGATTTACGCTTCGTGTATCTGGAAGCCCTGATGCTGCTTCCCGTGGCCTCGCCGGCATCGGTACAGCACTGAGTCTTAGGGAAGAACTAGCTCTCTTAGACTGGATCCCAGTAGACAGTCGTTTGTGTGCTGTCCGACTAAACGGAACAGTAAGGACTCAGAAAGATAGGGACACTCGTCGTTGCCTCTTCGTCGTCTCTGCCTATTCTCCCACTGACTGCAGCTCAGATGATGTAAAAGATGAGTTTTACAGAAAGCTTTCCGACCTTCTCCGAAAAGCTAGGTGCTCGGATGTAGTAATAGTGGCCGGTGACTTTAATGCTCAAGTAGGTAAACTAAGCGAAAAGGAGAGACACCTGGGTGGATCTTATAGTGTCGTGGCTCAAAGAACAGATAATGGCGACCGTCTGTTGCAGCTATGCTCAGATAACCGCCTCTTTCTTGCAAACACTAACTTTAAGCATAAGGAAAAACATCTTTTAACATGGCGATCCCCAAATTCGTCCCAACGTTGGACCCAAATAGATCACATCGCTATCAGCCACCGATGGAGGGGCTCGATAGAAGACTGTCGCTCATTCTGGAGCACATGCTTAGATTCAGATCATGCTCTAGTGCGAGCGCGTATTTGCTTGCGTCTTACTGGACGTAGGAAAGACACTGCAAGGAAACCTCTTAGGGCCCTACTTAATGATAGTCAAGCTAAGAGTATATTTCAGGAACAACTAGGAAAACAGTTAGGCAGCCATGTATGTGATGCCCACCCCGAGGCAGCATGGAATGATATCCGAAAAGCTGTGGAAACAGCAGTGATATCTGCTAGTAAGGTAAACCAGAAGGTTAGGGAGCAACACTGGATCTCAGCAGCATCTATCGCACTGATAGATGCTCGGAAACTCATTCCACCTGGCTCTGAACATAATGAAGAGCGGAGTCAGCTTAAGCGCAAGCTGACAAGAAGTCTACGCAATGATCGTGAACAGTGGTGGGTAGCGAAAGCAAGAGAGATGGAAAAGGCAGCGGCAATAGGTAATAGCAGACAATTGTTCAGACTTGTTAAGGAAACCGGTATTAGGAAACCGACTGTTAGCGAAACAATCTCAGAGAAAGATGGACATATTATACATTCTCAATCCAGGAGATTGGATCGATGGGCAGAACACTTTAGGGATCAGTTCAACTGGCCTTCAGCCACACTTCGGTTTCCCACGATATCTAGTCAACCTGAATGGCAAGTTAATGTAGGTCCTCCGCTCTTTATGAAGTTGAAAAAGCCATAGGAAATCTGGAACGAGGGAGAGCAGCAGGCCCTGACAGGTTTACTCCTGAGATTTTTAAGGATGGTGGTCCAGTATTAGCAGTGAGATTAACTGAGGTCTTAGGTAGAATTTGGGAACTGGACGTAATCCCATCTGACTGGTCTCAATCACTGATTGTGCCAGTCTATAAGAAAGGACAAAAGTCCTCTTGTGACAATCACAGAGGAATCAGTTTGACTAATATAGTGTCTAAAATATTAGCTTCAATAATACTTCGACGCCTAACTAAAGCTCGTGAAGAGCAGAATAGAGAAAATCAGGCTGGTTTTCGACCTGGACGTGGTTGTATAGATCAGATATTCACACTACGTCAGGTTCTAGAACACAGACATACGTTCAGACGCCCCACAATGGTAGTATTTTTCGACCTTAAGGCGGCATTCGACTCTGTTGATCGTAAGGTTCTATGGCAGTGTTTGTCACTGAAAGGAGTACCAAAGAAGTACATTAACCTTATAAAGGCTCTCTACTCGAACACAGCTGGTCGAATTGTCATCAGAATTGATTACCTCAAGTGGTGTTCGTCAGGGCTGCCCACTCTCTCCATTCTTGTTTAACTTTGTCATTGACGTACTTTTAGAGATAACACTTTACTCATCTAAATTTCCAGGGGTTGAACTTCTACAAGGAGATTCACTTGTTGACTTGGAATATGCCGATGACATAGTTCTATTTGGTGAAGACGCTGACAAAATGCAGAGTCTTCTGACCACTCCAAGCAACAATGCAAGCATGTTCGGGATGCGATTCTCCCCCTCGAAATGCAAAATGTTGCTTCAGGATTGGGTTGCATCAACACCCGAACTAATGATAGGGAGTGAAGTAGTTGAGCGTGTCGACCGCTTCACTTATTTTGGAAGTCTCATCAGCCCTTGTGGTCTGGTGTATGACGAAATCTCAGCACGGATACAGAAGGCTCGACTAGCTTTTACCAACTTGCGTCATTTATGGCGTAGGCGAGATATCCGTCTATCAACCAAAGGACGTGTTTACTGCGCAGCAGTTCGTTCCGTCCTACTTTATGGCAGTGAAACATGGCAGGTAAGAGTAGAGGATATTCGTAGGTTACTAGTATTTGATCATAGGTGTCTTCGAAATATTGCTCGTATATCGTGGGACCATCGAGTAAGTAATGCAGTTGTTAGGAAACGGGTACTAGGTAATGATGGCAAATCAATTGATGACGTAGTGAAACTTCATCAGTTGAGATGGCTGGGACACGTGTTACGTATGCCCAACGACCGACTGCCTCGATGTTCAGTGGTATAGGAGTATGTTGGAAGAAAGCTAGGGGCGGCCAAACCAAAACATGGCACAAGTCCATGAAGTCACTGACAAGTGAACTGAGTCATGTCAGGAGGTGTAGACTACCTGGTTGGGGACCGCGAGATGATAGCAACCGATGGTTAGAGACCCTGAATGACATGGCTCAAAATCTTTTGAAATGGCGCAGGTGCATACACTCTTTCTGTTCTCCCAAATTTCGATCTCCTTATTCCTCCTTGTCTCTTTTTTCCTCTCAAATTTATTTCACTGTATTATACTCTTTAAGTAATATCTCCAAACACTAATCTTCCCGATTACTGCTTATACTCTTATTACCTCTACTACTACGGGGTTTGAATCGACCACTGCATCTGTGTGCTAATGTGGTGTGGCAACTCGAACTGATGTACGTACGTACGAAGTTCTACGTTGTTACTGACTGACTGACTGACTGCTAAAGGCCAGGGGAGTGGCCCCCTAAGAAAATTACCTGCCTCGATTTGGGCGCCCGGCAGTACGTCGGTACTCACACAAATCAAATGAAGAAGTGGTGCATACAAACCTGGTGCCTCATTGTACCAATGTTTAAATAAATGAATTTTATAGAGTCAAGGAGAATGAAAAACCTGAGGCCGAAACTCGTTTTAAGCACGAAGTTACTAAAAGGTCTACTTAGCGAACTAATGCCTCTAGATATCTTTGGAGTTACCCTGCCAAAGGTTTATAAACTAGGTAGCTAGACATACTTAGAAGACAATCAAACCAAGCTATCGAAGGTGATATTTAAATCTCTGAATAAAAGGTATCCAATACCGTGAAAACGAAATAAACTTAAAGGAAGTACCGGTCACACAATGACCGTGTGAAATGACGGGAATCTGAAAAATTATGACTATGAATAGATGCGTGGGAAAAGGAATTTAGAATTGAAGATTTTCGGGTGGTGGGGATCCGGAAGAGATTAACTCCGGTTGGAAGAGCTTTATAGAACGACAACTAAGTTGATTTCTGGAATTGCGAAGCTGTAGTTTGATGCGGGACTAGAAAAACTGAATCTATTCCCCTCATCATACGAAAGGAATAGAATAGACTTCATGAGTCTATAAATTACTTAATAAGATTTTTGTGAACAACACCCTCACTTTAGTTGTCTTTAAGGACAAAGACTTCACGAGGAAACTACAAAACAGTTACTAGCCCAGACGACTACCGACTTTTTATTTGGATCAACAAATGGGACCCCTTACCTCAACAGGTGGTTTAATGTCCAGTTATTTGTGTGAAAAATCCAGGAAACCAGACAGTTTGGTGTATTTTCCATATATTTAAATCGAATTATCTTGAGGAATGTCCTCTTTCTCACCGTCTTGCTTACTTTGAAAGTTCAGTGAGACCATAATTTGGGGACGTTATTGAGGACATACTGAAGTGACCTTTAAAAACAAATTTACATAATAGGTATTAACCCAGCTAGGTCTTAATAGAATAACGAATTTATGTGGGGATTCCGAATAGAGTTTAGGCTGTAAGTGTGTAGTAAGAGTCGAAATTAATGTCATTAACTAACATCAGCTTTAACGCTATAACACCTTAAGCTATGTATACAGCTTGGACGGATGAACTCAGAAAAACCAAGGCATATCTTGAATCTAATTAGTTCGTCTGATTAAACCATAAACCCGTCGATGCGGACTGAGTAAAACTTAAGGCATGGGTAACACTTACTTTGCCAATGTGTTCATCTTATTGAAGTTTTAATAAATAAAGCAGAAACTTTATTTCAGGCGGAATTTTTGCAAATGCAAAAGGCCGAGACCAGACCTTGAACTACGCTGTGAAGTATTCAAACACTCCTAATGATTCAATGTAAACGAACAAAAATAATAACTTTTAGCTGAGTTTGAGCAACGCTCCTTCTTTGTATTCACAAATACTGTTCAAGACACTAATCTCCTAGTGAAATTTAACAAGTTTGTTTTTCCATTCTAGTTGATTAGTGTGAAGATGCCACAGGTATTCAGAGTTTGACAACGCTTTAACCAGTAACACATTCTATTATGAGTCGTGCCCACCAAGGGAAATCAAAAGACAGAAACGGGAGGTTCGAAGATATATTTGATAGGCTATCAATATATCGAGGATCGTCTGATCTAATCTGGCTTGCGATTGCAGGGGTTGTTGAGCACGGCGTTCCCACTCGTGATCTGGTGCGGATGCATGACCGAGCGCCTTCAGCTAGGTGTGTCCATTAAAACATGTGGTCAGCATCCAATGTCGAAAACTTACAGAGCCATTTATTTGTGGGATTTATTTACCGCTGCAAGTGTTTCATGAGTGTTTCTGATGAGTTCACGTTTCTTCCCAAGTGACCATTAGTATGAATTCCTAGGACGATTAGTGCGTTCCTGAATGTAAAGTAGGAAGAACAATATATTGACATGGTTTATCCGGTATGATGTATGCGTATTTTGTTTTAAATTTGCAAATAGATCGATATACGGCTTTTAATAACGGAAGCGAGGAAAACGTTGGACGTAACACTGTGTGGGAAAAGTAGTTTCCGATGCACAGGCTGTGACACCTCTTCGAGACTGTCATACAGTGCGACGAATGAAAAGAGATGGTACTATGAAGTTTGCACGAATCTAACGCCCGCGGCTTTCCAAAAGTTCAGTAAAAATCGCTGCGTGTGGTTTTGGCGGCAGTATTGCTCGAACGCACACAGCTTTTTAACCTAAGTCATTTCAAAGATGAATGCTGCCAAAAGCATAGTAGCAGACTAGGGCCAGACACGTCGGACAGTACTCACTCTATCGATAGATAGATTGATGTGATGTCACCTCAAATAAGGTCAGAAACGGTTAACTTACATGGATCAAAGAGGAAAAACCAACTTCAAAGCGGTCTGTCCCAAATAAAAACACAAGAAATGAAGTTTACTGTCACATGTTATCTAAATGGTAGTCGGCAGGAAACACATAAGAAAACAATTAGAAGGCTAGGCCTGTTTCTGTCAGGAAAAAACTGACGCCATAACTCGTCCGTTATCTTCCAGAATCCCACGGTGAGTTTAATGGGACTGTGGTTGCCACTGCAACGAAGGTATGTGAAAGTGTACAGATCAAGAACAAGAAACGACACAACATATTAAAGAAAACTCAACCTGCCTTTAAAGTGGCAGTGAAATTAAAAGCTGAGGCAAGTCAGTTATCTGTCGTAGAATCAATAAGAGTGAACGCTCAGAACCTAAGACTGGTTTCGAGCAGGAGGATGGGTCGATCAAACCGCTACTGAATGATTCAAAAAATTACTAAAACTAAGGTTACATGTCCCTTGTTCTTTACAAGCTGAAAGTGTTATTAAGGGAGCTCGGCATGAACATGAAGAACAATGAGTTGTGATATGTAACAAGGTAGAATCCGTTCAACTGATGGAAGGGGAGTCAAATTTGGAATAAAGAAGGCCGGCTTTTAGGATGGAAATCGCATCAACATAGAATAAAGTGTTATGAAGCACTGCCTGTTTTTTTATTTCGTAAAAGTCTGAGTAAGTATGCTTAATGTCATCTTAGTAGAGTAGAGACTTCAAGAAAACGTTGGGAATTTGAGTCCGAGTAATGGGCGCAGGAAAACAACCTCAGTATCACCGATTGTTCGCATTGTACTCGATCATAAAGAGTGTAAAAACACCAAAATGTCTTTCCAAAAAGTCATGGGTGAATTGAATTCTTTGCCGTCAACATCAATGCTTGCTGGTTAGTAACACCACTCTCCTTCCTTTTGACTTAATAAGGTTTATTCGTAGGTAAATTATCATATCTCATGCAGTGCTCAGTTTCGTATGCTGTTGGTACATGCTATTTCTTTAATTGCAATCTTATAAGCCTATCAGGCGGTTACGAAACAATGTATTTGTGTAAGGCATTGATGCAAAGCTTTAAGTGATAATAGTATGAATTATGGTTATCTAACAGGAATATAGGCATCGAGAAGGGTATAGTACAGGATAAATGTCTACAGAATTGGGCGAAAGCGTATAGAAAGTATCTATGCGGTTTGGTTTCATAATGTAAAAAACAAGATTTAAAGAAGTAAATGAATATACCTGTTGGGGTGATACAGAAATGGCTTGCAAAAGACAAGCAAGCATCAAGAAACACTAAGAAGTGTTTCGTCCAACCAGCGTTCATTTGGAGTTTTTTGGACAGAAATATAGAGGTAGCTAAACGTCACATGCGGAAGCTCTGATTGGTTGGCTACTACAGTGCTACTATGTTTAGTAGCGTTCCAGAATATTCCAGCGACACAAGGACATTTAGATATATTATAAAAACCCTATATTTTCTGTAATAAACTGAACCTTGGGATAAAGTATTTTCTCTCATACTTGTGTCTTCTCTCTGGTGTTCAAGTCGCTGTGTAGTTCTAGACTGCGGGTTACCGGAATAGCTTAGGAAACTAATATAGCGTTCAATCGACACGACTTATCATTACCTAACAGGTAGAAGGAAGAATATTTTCAGCAGTCAGACAATCTATTTCCTTTTAATTGTCCGTATTATACTTCACTTTCCTGATCTTTGGCCTGACAAGGCCAAATTAACTGAACCGAATTCAGACCAAAGTACGTTACTGAGAGGATTCAAACCAGTTTGAACAAAAAGAGAGAACTGTCAAGTCTACCGAAGCGTCCAAGTCACCCAATTAAGATACTCATGAAATCGAGGTTACAAACCTCAGTTTGTGTGGTGTCTTTGGCGTTTACAGTGATTTTTCTCTGAAGTAAAAAGGCTCAGATAGTGCAAAATGACAGTCGTTGGCTTTATCTAAACTTAATAGTGGTTTATCAACGAGCGGAAAGGGAACTAGCAGCAAGCAATATGGAAGCTGTTGCGTTTAAAGAAAGATTTAACGATTGCACAAAATTGCGAATAACTGCTACAATGATTGAGACGAAGTAATTATGATGATAAATACAATAAATGTTATAGATGTGTGTGTGAATATTTCAGAATAATACACGACAAACTTGCGTTACAACATACTCGTAGAAATTACTATAGATACAACCATTTACGGAATACCAATACCTAGTGCAAGACAGTATACCAAAGGGTCGAATGAAAGTTAATAAGGACATAGAGCGTAAAACAGATTTAACAACCTGTATTTCGGCACGTTTAATCCACAGATAAGCTTGCAGCTGGACAAGTAAGAATCTAGAAAACTAAGTAGTATTTATGATTCAGGAAAGAAATGTAGCACAAGCCATTTATTCGCCGACCAGGCGACATTCCAAGTCTCTAAAGCCCATTGATTCGTTGGGTTTATCAATCGTAATTTCTATCTAAACGAATCCAAAATGACTTCATATAAGGTAAAATTGGGAAAGTTCGACGCCATTTCATAAGACTTATCACGTCAGACCAATCGCATAATGATGGATGTGAAGCATGGAAGCTTGATACCGTATCAGTAAGTGAAATTAAACTTTACCTTTCTTTTCAAAATTCTAAATCACAGAACTAAAGTAAACTATGGTGCGTTGAAAGTTTCTAAAAATATTGATTATAACCTTCGGAATCAGGATTTTGAACTAAAGATCTCAAGAACATCAAGCGGATCAAAATAAACTTTCTCTGTCGCACGCTACGCCAGTCTCTGTAATAGGTTATCAGTAAACACCCGGTCGAATGAAACGTTTGCTGAATTTGAATCTCTTAACTGATTTATGGATCATTCCAGAGTTCCTTACGTGCTTGATGGAGCTCACCAAAGCCAAGCTTCATTTGACTTTGGACCACCTAACATTTAAGCTTGTTAATAAATAACTGATTGACACCTAGTGGCCACTTCCCAAACACCAAATACTTAACCCACCAATGGCCTCTGTAATTTCATACTGTATATGTTGCAGTCCCACTTACTTACTTACTTACGCCTGTTACTCCCAATGGAGCATAGGCCGCTGACCAGCATTCTCCAACCCACTCTGTCCTGGGCCTTCTTTTCTAGTTCCATCCAATTCTTGTTCATTTTTCTCATGTCTATCTCCATTTCTCGGCGTAATGTGTTCTTTGGTCTTCCTCTTTTCCTTTGGCCTTCAGGATTCCATGTGAGGGCTTGTCTTGTGACGCAGTTGGGTGCTTTCCTCAATGTGTGTCCTATCCACTTCCAGCGCTTCTTCCTGATTTCTTCCTCCGCTGGGATCTGGTTTGTTCTCTCCCACAGTACGTTGTTGCTAATAGTGTCCGGCCAACGGATCTGAAGTATTTTGCGTAGACAACTGTTAATAAACACCTGTATTTTCTGGATGATGGCTTTCGTAGTTCTCCAGGTTTCTGCCCCATACAGTAGAACTGTCTTGACATTTGTATTGAAAATCCTGACCTTGGTGTTGGTTGACAGTTGCTTTGAGTTCCAGATGTTCCTCAGTTGTAAATATGCTGCTCTTGCTTTGCCGATCCGCGCCTTCACATCTGCATCAGATCCACCCTGTTCATCAATGATGCTGCCCAAATACGTAAAGGTTTTTACATCTTCCAAATCTTCTCCGTCAATTGTGATTGGATTGGTGCATTCTGTGTTGTATCGGAGAATCCTGCTTTTCCCTTTGTGTATATTGAGACCTACTGCTGCTGAGGCTGCTGCCACACTGGTCGTCTTCTCCTGCATCTGTTGTTGCGTTTGGGATAGAAGGGCCAGATCATCTGCGAAGTCTAGATCGTCCAACTGCATCCTAGATGTCCATTGTATCCCGTGCTTCCCTTCAGACGTTGACGTCTTCATGATCCAGTCGATCACCAGGAGAAAGAGAAAGGGTGAG